CCCCTGCAATTTTTTCCACTAATTGAAATGTCTTTAAATCCACGTTAAAATGAATTCAACACACTGTAGTAAACAGATAAATGGAGGCAGAAGATGTCTTTCAGTCATCAATGCACACATTCAGCGACACACAGGAGCTCTTTCAAGCTGGGCACCGTTTCATTCACAACACCTGTCCCATCAACCAGGAATCAGAATCAGAAATACTTTAATAATCCCAGGGAGAAATTACTTTCATTAAATTAGTCCATCTATAATAGAGTGACTATAGGACCAGTTTGATAATAACACAATTTCATACAATATATATAATTAGGGGTTCCCTGCTCCATCTAGAGGTCCTTGGCGTTGAAAATGTTGGAAGACCCCTGACCTAAATTATAAAAATCTAGTTGTATCTCTGATTGATGTCTCCTTTTTTCTTTTACTGCCCTTTGTGTTTAAGGCTAGCCTGCTTCTGCCTGTCCTTTCTTTATTAAGGCTAATCGTTTCAACATAATGAATGAAACATTAAAAATTACAGTAGATGTCTCCAGTTCATTAAAGGTTTGATCTTATTTGGTTTGTAATACCTGCAGTACATTTTTATTTTAAAAGGTTTTAAAAGTGATTTTGCTTTTTCTAAATTACATCTTTGGTTATCTTCCTTTCATCAACAGAGTAAAATTATGTTTTAACACAAGTCATTTTGAGTGGAAGGACATTTATATTTATGAAAAAACAAATTTGTTATATTTAGTACTTATTAGACGATAAAGGCAACATGGAGGATTTTAACAACAAATTACAAGATAGTAATACAGAATATTCCTAACGCTTTTGTTTAGTTGGTTAACAGTAATTTATCCTACATCACAACTCCAATAAGATTCAAATTAATGGTTATGGACATTTTTGTTTAAAAAAGTGATGATACATTTTCAATTCAATAACTGAGTTTATTTTACCCAAGTAAAGCAAAGAAGAATCTTATCTTTTGAAATGTTGATCAAACAACAACAACTAAAATTATTACAAAATATTTATAAAGTCTAATTCCTTCTAAATATATTAAAAAAAAATAAATTTTAAAGTAATGGAAAACATATATTCCCTTAAAGGAATTCAAAATTATACCTTTAAACATTTTACTTCAGTCTTCTTGTCTTTCAAATCCATAGATATATGTTTGTTTTTCTCATTTCAAGATATACAGTTCAGCTTATTCCTAAAAAAAAAAAAAATAAATAATATAGAATTTTATGTGCTGGAAAAAACAATCTACAAATAAGTAATAATGTCTTAAATTAAGTGTATTTACCCTTAATTTGAGTAGGTAAATGAGACAGTTTACCAGTGGAATGAATATTTTTCCTCTTAAAATTAGATAATATGCACTTGAAATAAGACAATGCAATTGGGATTTCTTATTTTAAATGTAAATTGTCTTGTTTTATTGGCAAAACGTGTCTTTTACCTCCTCAATCCAAGAACAAAAACCCTTATTTTAAGAAGAAATTTCGTATTTCAGTTTTTTTCCAGTGTTGTCAATGTTATAATTATTCCAACAAAATACTACATACCGGTATATACAAGTGGGTTTGTAAAATGCCCTCCTTCTTTTCCTGCTTTCAAAAATGAGCAAAATTTGTTCAAGAGGTTTCTGAAAGAGATGCAAAACAATAGTGCAAAAAAGAATTAAACTGGATATTTAATATTGTAGATTAGGTTTTCCTTTTTTTTTATTTTCCTTTTCTTTTTAACTCTCTGGTTTGTGAATTAAAGTGTCGGTGTGCTTATAGATGAAATCTACTGGGTGGGGGTCATGGTGGGGCCAGTGGTTTTTTTACGGGGGCAGAGAACAAAAGAATAACAGACACATGCAAAAAGAAGCAAGCGAGAGCATATTGTTTCCTATAATGAGTGAACCACAGCGCCAAAGTTGCAGACTCTTCATCTAACAGATGAATCCTATCCTAAAGCTGACCAGAGTTTATAAATAAAGTCAATCAATCAATCAATCAATGTAGATTCCAAAAACAAAATAATAAGTTGGTACAAGGGAAGAATCAGTAATAGTTCCTTCTATCAAAGTTATCATAAGAAATAGATTTTATATTGTTATCTATCTTTTATATTGTTATCTCACATTGGAGAAATGTACCTCTGTATTTAACCCATCCCCTTGGAGAGCAGTGGGCTGCCATCATGGGCCCCCCGGAAGTAGTGTGGGGTTAAGGGCTTGCTCAGAGAGCCAGAGTGGCAGTCTGTGGGAGTGGGGCTCGAACTCAGAACCTCAGGATTCCAAGCTCTACGCCCTAACCACTAGGCCTCCACTCCCCTACAATGCAAAGACTAATCTAAAAATGAACAGTTCTTAAAAGAAGTCAATATGTTCTCATTTAGAGTAGATCTGCTCAATTAACAAGTATTTCTGCTATTAAAGTAAAAAAATATATTCGATATTGAATAATTAAGTAGCTTTTTTCTTATTTTAAACATAAATCATCTTATTGCATCTTCTTATTGTCTTACCTCTTTAAATCAGGGGAAAAAGCACATATATATATATATATATATATATATATATAT